ATGTAAGAAAATGGAGTGGGCTAGTGTTGGGGGGTGTAAATGTAAAATGCTACCCTATTTAATGCATAGGGTAGCATTTTATATATATATATAGATTTGACAATTAAAACAGTCGTTCTAGAACCGAATATGATCTAAAAAGAAGAAAGAACCAAAAAGAGGGAACGAAAGAGATTAATAAGCGGAGAGGTCATTGCCCAAAAGCTCAAATGAGCTTGTCAAGAAGCTGATTCAAGGGTGTTTGGTGGCTTCCTTCTAAATAATAAAAAAAAAAATTTTAAAATTTAAAATAGAAAAACTATTTAAATTGTAAAACAATTTTAGACCATAAAACAATGGTTTTTAAATGAGAAATGAAGTTTTTAATATTAGTTATCACTTTATTTAAATTTTTTAATTTATAATTTAAAATAAATTTAAACCATAAAATAATAATTTTTAAATAAAAAAATAAAAGTTCTTGATGTTAGATACCCCTTATCTAGATTTTTTATTTTATAATTTTAAACAATTTAAATTATAAAATAACAAATTCATTTAAAATTGTGTACATTGTTTTATTTGCCAAACAGGGGCCCTCAGAGTCAATTCTTAACCGGGACATTGTCCCCCGCATTCCCAAACATGCCCCGTTCACTGCAGGAGGCCCAAACCCTTCCAAACAGATCCTTAAAAACCTAACGTTCCTCTCTGCTTTTCATTTCATTTCCTCTTTTCCTCCTCTCCCGTCTCTCCAACTCTCTCTGCGCTGCTTCTCTCCGACGGACGGTAAATAATCAAAGAAACCAGAAAAAGGTAGGCTCTTCCATTTCAATTCCATATTTTCTTCGTCTTTTTTTCTTTTCCCTCCTCCAAGATTCTCCATTTATTTCGTTTGGATTTAGGTATTTCTGGGTTTTCTCGATTTCTTTCTCTCGAACCTAACTAGTTGCTACGGTTGATTTCATGGTCCTTTCTGTTTGATTTTCCTCAGATCTCTTGCATTTATGGTGAATGTCTTGAATGGTTGTTGCTATGACTGAGTGTATAGTTTGTTCCTTGTGAAAGAGTATCTTTCTTCATGATGCTAGATATTGAATAACTTGTATTATGTGTTTTTTGGCCGGGGAGGATTGGAGATATTGAGAAAACTGACATGCCTGTAAAGATGAGAGATAAGGAACTTTTGAGTTAATTTTGTAAGAAAATAATGAGAGTCTTTATTTAGGTTTTCAGGTGAAAGAAGGGTCTCTGACTCTTTATCCTTTACTCCAATTTAAACTGTAATCTATTGCTACCTTATTTTTTAGGCAAAATGTAGATTTTTCGTGGTTATTCTTTGATGCAAAATGTTAATGATTTAACATTCCTTTCATTTTTCTTTTAAATGTTACTTAAAAAAAAAAAAAAGAAAACTGATGATTTGACTCTATTGTCTAACTTTTTGAATTCTTTTTAGAATGATTCTCCATCAGTCTATGTTTTTTTACCGGCCATAGCAGATAATATAAAACGTTAAAGTGGGATTTATAACCTTCTTGGTTTTTATTGATTCCTTTCAGCAAACTGAGGGTTAGACTATGAGCTGTAAAATTCAACAGAAATTTATTTCTATTTTTTGTGGCTTGTATTTCAGGATTTTTGGGATGTTTGCTTTTCTTTTTGGGAATTGTTGGACTTTTTTTCTGAGTTGGGAATCCTTCCAGTTTTCTTGTTCACTTGTTTTGCTTATCTTATACCTTTTCTTTTCAACTTGTCATATTTTATTTCTTTATTTATTGAGATTATTAACATATTTGCAGCCCACTCCTGTAGGTTGTAGCTTTGTAATGGATTCCACTACAACAAATTCACAACGCCGCCCATTTTCAATCAAGCTATGGCCCCCTAGTGAAAGCACTCGAAAGGTGCTTGTGGAGCGCTTGAGGAACAATCTCACCACTAATTCCATCTTCACTCAGAAGTATGGCTGCCTTAGCAAAGAAGAGGCTGAGGAGAGTGCAGGACAGATTGAGGATTCAGCTTTTAACACTGCAAACCAACTCTATGATAGGGAACCTGATGGTGATGGAAGTGCTGCTGTGCAGCTTTATGCCAAGGAGTGCAGTAAGCTTCTCTTGGAAGTTCTTAAAAGAGGAGCTGCAGCAAAGAATGACCAAGTGTTGGTTTCTAAGAAAGAAACTTCTCCTGTTGAAACCTTTTTTGATTTATCTAAAGGCCAGCGGGCCTTGATTGAGGCCGATGAGGCTGAGAATATTCTAAGACCATTGAAGGAGCCTGGAAATTCTTACACTAAAATATGCTTTAGCAATAGAAGTTTTGGTTTAGGAGCAGCAAATGTTGCTGCACCCATTTTGGTTTCCCTCAAGCATCAGTTGAAAGAAGTTGACTTGTCTGACTTTATTGCTCAAAGACCGGAGCCAGAAGCGCTTGAAGTTATGAGTACATTTTCAGCTGCCTTGGAAGGCAGTATTCTGAAGTCTCTTAATCTCTCAAATAATGCCTTGGGCGAGAAGGGCATTAGGGCTTTTGGGGCTCTTTTGAAATCTCAGACTTCTCTGGAGGAGCTCTATTTAATGAATGATGGTATCTCAGAGGAAGCTGCCAAAGCTGTTTGTGAATTAATTCCCTCCACAGAGAATCTTAAGGTTCTCCAATTTCATAATAACATGACAGGAGACAAGGGAGCACTTGCCATTTCTGAGGTAGTGATGCGATCTCCATTACTGGAGGATTTTAGATGCTCAACTACAAGAGTTGATTCAGAAGGAGGAATTGCCTTATCAAAGGCACTTGAGACTTGTAGCCATTTGAAGAAGCTTGACCTCCGCGACAACATGTTCGGTGCTGAAGCTGGAGTTGCACTTAGTAAAGCACTTTCTAAGCATGCAGATCTTGTTGAGATTTACTTGAGCTATCTCAACTTGGAAGATGAAGGTGCTATTGCTGTTGTTAATGGTCTGAAGGAATCTGCTCCTTTACTTGAGATTTTAGAGATGGCTGGAAATGACATAACAGCTGAAGCTGCCCCTGCTTTAGCTGCTTGTATAGCATCAAAGCAGAATCTCACTAAGTTGATCTTGTCTGAGAATGAGCTTAAGGAGGAAGGTTCCATCCAAATTGGCAAGGCTCTGGAAGGTCTTGCTCGGTTAAAAGAAGTTGATATGAGCAACAATTTTATTAGAAGGGCAGGTGCTCGCATGTTGGCTCAGGTAGTTATTGAAAAACCTGGGTTTAAGTTGTTGAACATCAATGGGAATATCATCTCTGATGAAGGTATTGATGAGGTGAAAGAGATGTTCAAGAAATTTCCTGAAATGCTTGGGCCCTTGGACGAGAATGATCCTGAAGGAGGAGATGACGGTGAGGAATCTGAAGGAGAAGGTGAAGGTGAATGTGATGGGGATGGACTGGAGTCTAAACTTGAGGATCTTGAAGTTAGCCATGATGACTAGAGTTCTCTAGGATTTCTTTTTCACAGCTTCGGCTGCTTTAGTAACCTGCAGACCATTTATTGACTGTTCTGCTGAATTTTACCTAGCAGCCAATGCAGTTGGTGTCAGTGTAGCAGAAAGCCTAATGGATGGCTTTTAGTTGTAGGACTATGTCTATGTATTTGACATGTGTTGAACTTCCCAGGACTTGTCCTTTGCTGCCTATAATGGCAAATCTTTTCTTGAGTTCTGTTTTCAATGGTTGAGGGCTAATTGTTTATTATTATTATTATTATTTTTTATTTGCTCATGTTTCTTTCTTTTTTCTCACATTGCTGCATCTATTTGGGTTGGACCTTACCCATGATGATATATGCCTGCCATACGATTGAAACTCTAGATGATTAAGTTTGTGTGTGTGCCTGTAAAGCAGCTTAGTGCCAAAGTGGCAAGCTGGAAGTTCTGGTATCTTG